GAGTATTACAGTACAGTTTCGATAATCCGAACCTCTAGTAAACTAAGCTGGCTGTTCACAGATTTTTGAGATTGGTTTAAGGAAAATTTATTGAAATTTTTCGCGATCGCAATTATTTATATTAATGTTTATTTTCATAAGTAGGTAGGTTAAAGTAAAACACATTAAATCTGAATGAATAATGGAATAATTCTTCATGACTAAAATCAACACTCCAAATAGAAAGCTCGTCGGAATGACAGTCTTGAAAGCTTGGGAATGGAGAGAACTGACATTGCCAAATTAAGAACCAGAAATAAATAAAATAAAACGAATTATTTTTAAGGCGGAACTGGACCAAAGGTTTTGGGGGAAAAGGTTTAGGAAGAAGAGAAACATCCGGTTTGGGTTTGACATGTTTTGAATACGCTGACTGTTTTATCAGCGATGTTTATACTGATGTCAGCCATGGAAACGCGATGTTTGTTCACCAAAGGAGCAAGAGGAAATCACTGAATGGGGGGCGGGGAGGGGGTAGTCAGTCCAACACGTTCCCAGAATCTACCTATCGGATCCTTACGGCATCTATAGTCGCATTTCAGGATTTTTTTCTTTGGAAAATATTCTTCAGTGTTTTCGTTTGGGAAATCCTTTCAATTTTATATGTTTAAAGAATTAACGAGTCCCTTTCAAGATGAATTCATCCTTTAAACTTTATTCACCATTAATCGTACACTTTTAAGTTAAGTGCAAATCAAAGATGGGCATATACTGAGTAGCGAGTATTTTACTCAAATTGAATCACTTTTGGGTATTCGATCACTATTTCAGTTAATCTTTTGACATCAATTGAAGTAGTAAAATCATAAAAATGATTTTAAAAATATATTCTTTGAGACTTAAAAGGGCCGATAATACTAAAAGATAAATCCAAATCAATTTCTTCACTGAAGGAAGTGAATTTTTCTCTACTAATGAAGGCTTAGCACTTGACAAAATTCGCTCTATCTTATCAGAGGAGTTGCATGCAGCACGCCACATCTTTCCAAGTCCCCTTAAACAAAACCTGATAATTTCTTTCTTTCTTTTTTTTTTTTTTCAATCGGTTCTACTTTGATCTGAAATACAATACCAGCCTGTAGGAAGATATGTCTCATGTGTGAAGTATACATCAACATATGAATAACCATATATTTTTGCATTTAATTTAAATTTAACTATTTATTACATCTCTTACAATAAATACTAAATCGGCAGAATACTAAAATGATTCTGTCCTACTCCGTTCAATCAAATTAGAATCAAATTTTTTTTTTTTTTTTTTTTTTTTGTGAATTTTTGCTTCTCGTCACTAAAGTTATATTTGAGAGAGATCGTGCAAAAAAAAAAAGAAAAAAACACTGAAGGAAATTATGAAAGCATGCTTTGAATATTCATAACATTAATATTTAAAAAATGAATGATGAACCCAAAAAAAAAACGTGGGTGATATAAAGAATATCAGTAACTTCAGGATCGAAACGAGAAATTAATTGCGAAAAATTTGGGTACTCATTGGACTCAGAATTTGATGCGCTACAACTTTTATTCTATCTAAGAGTTATTTATATTAGGAAATTCATTTAGAAGCTGTAGGACCATTACTACAGCAATTGGTTCACAGGTTTTGACAAATTTGGTAAAAATCAGCGTTCGTTGACCGTGTTTTGCGATCATACAACTTTAACAAATTATTAAGTTTAGGTTCTCGTTCGACGCACAATTTAATGTTCCTTATTTTAAGAGTATGTTTTTCGCTTCGATGTTAAGGAGTTATATGTGAAAAATGAAATAAAATCGAAAAAATATGTTGTTTTTTTTGGCTGTAAATAGTTTTCTCTAAGTGGCTCGAGTTAGCAATTCTGTTTATTACATGTTTAAACTCATATATATACAAGTTTAAAAAATTAGAACTTTACTCACATTTTTCGCAATAGATTTCTTCAAGTTACTGTCCTGATATTCATTAAATTAGCCGTAATTTTTTAACGTAGCATGATCCGACTGGCACACTCAATTTAATATTCAAAATTTTCTGAGATGTTAATTTTTTTGTACCTACTCTCGGACTATTAGATTAGCTTTATATTCGTGTAGGAGGTTAAACAAAAAATTGTGCTAAAATAGAAAAATCCGTTTTACGTGTTGATGAATGTCACTATAATTAATAATAATTATTAATTATTGTTTACCGTACCCTTTCTCCTTACAATGAACGCTTATACTACTTCAACATTAAGGTAGGACTCAATGCTTGAGCATTCCTTCTATTTCTGCGATGTGAGGAATTTTATCATTTTAATACCGTTACATAATGACAAAGGGGGCTGTAGAATTTTCATCAAGCTCACGAAAGGCTGACTTTTTTTCATAATTAAAACGAAGTTTAATACTTTGTAAATTTAATTTCTGATTTATTTGTTTTGTGAAAAATTATTTCATTCTATCGGTATAAATTATTTATTTTTTTTATACAATCCAATACTTATTCAACGTTTCGGGAATTTTCTACAATACATTTATTATTATTACATACATATATACAATTTAAAATTATATATTTGACGTTAAAATAACTTTTTTCTTGTTCCTAAATTTGCTATACAAGTGAAATCCATAATATATTATAACATGATATTTTTAAATATTTTTTAAGGAGATGAACCGGCATGTCTGTCATAAATAGTGGCAAAACTATTTAGTCTATTTATGACCGACACCCCGGACCATCTCCTTCTTTAATAATACAACGGTCAACTATTAAATATTCAATTAAATATTTTTTATATTTGATCTATTTAGGATGTTCCTTGTTATTTTTTCAATATTTAAAATTTCTTGATTGTTTAAATCAAAATTTTGGTTTAGTTTTATGCTTCTGTAAATATTGAAAAAAAAAAAATAGAAAAACAATTGAGGTTCTATAAATAATCAAATATATAGAACAAACGATTAATAACAAAATACACACAAAAAAATATCTGCCAAATAATATAAATTCTAGTCCACAATATGAAGAAATATTTTTTTGCAGACAATAAAGAAACTAGAATTATTTTTACTATACATAGTAATTTATCAAAAAATTAATTGTAGAATGTAGACATTAAGTTAAAGAATATTTAATGAATTATAACAAACCCGTTTTAAGAGAGTAATACCAAAAAAACGGATGTTTTCCGTGTTGTCAACTACCTCCGACAAGGATATGAGAAAGGATTCCAGAGGACTTTGCTGGAGTTGACATGATTGGAATACTGGAGCGGGGCTCGCTAAGTGTCGAGATCAAAGGCACTTCTCCAGCGAGCAGCGCCTGTCGCTCGGGTCGCATGGTCGCTTTATCACAACAGGATATGTCGTTATAGATCGGGAAATAATTACTAACGCAATGTAATTATTTATATAAAATATAGTAAAAAAGTTAACATAAAAGAAAGAGAGGTGTAGCGTTAATTAAAAATACAGGTCAACAACTATCGAAAAAAAAAAACTGAAATATTAAGTAAACAAAGTTTTTTTTAATAAAAAGGCCTTTGACATTTATTTTTTTTTACTTTTTAGTTTCTCTTGAACAAATACGATACATATAACTCTATCTGGACAAGCGCCTAGCATGGAATCCTCATACCAGACTGAAACGACAAGAAACCGCACGTTTCCGACTACTTCATCATTTACTAACAAACGCTCTAAACTTCCATTTAATTACAAAAGAATAAATATACATTACAAAGTTACAAATAAAATCATGGGTGATAAATAGTCAGGACGCAGTCATTTTTAAGATTTTTATTGGTGCCGACGTTTCAACCCAAGTATGTGGATGATCAACAGGGCACTGGAGGTGTTCAAGTGGCACCAATAAAGCTTTAAAAATGACTCCGCCTTAACTATTTATCACCCATGATGACCTTAATGTTCCATTTGTTTCCGGATTGGTCCAACCCAAATACCTATCCTTCCATAATAAAGTTCAAAACCATCCTCATCCTCTCGTTTATAATCTTGATTCCTCTTCGATCCCTGATAACTCCCCTCCCCTCCGAGGGTCTGAAAAGAAGATAACCTTGTGATCTCCTAATCTGGATGCTTTATTTGAGTGTTATCAATGGTTAGACCTTTTAATTGTTGTTTTTTATATACTTTTGTATGGAATGAGGCGTACGGGGAGAATAAAAATAAACTAGGAATATCGTAAAAAAAAATCATATAGCAGATTAGTGAGAACTCTTACACGGTTGGCAGCCAAACAAGCACTCACACTCCCACGCTGAGGTACAGTATCGGATAGTGGCAGTCCATGAGGAACGAGAGTCCTCCAAGAAAATTAAAAGTTACCAAAAAATCAATGAGGCACTGGACCACATCATCAAACCTTTCTAATCGCAGAGAAGTGGTCGCCGTGACTAGGTTAGGAATATGTCATAATAATTTTACTCATTTATATTTTATCAATAAATAACCGTCTCCAACATGCCAATACAGTTATGGTCCTCTCCCTGTGAGTCATATTTTTGAGGAATTCCCCTATTACACCTCAAGCTTAAATAGATAATCTCTTAGAACGATTATATCATTGATATTAAATAATAATGCATCAAACATAAAAGCAGTTATAAGATTCCTTATATGGTTTTCTTATTTATATAAATTATGTTTATTTTAATTTTATTTCATTTGTTTTTTTTCCTTTTCCTTCTTCAAAGGAGTTTCTGAACTCCAGTGAACAAAAATAAATGAACAACAGGTGTGGATGACCCTGGGGTTTAACACCTTAATGCGCCAATAAACTAGCCACACAAGTTTTGAAGGGGATACCAAAACCGTACATACCTAAAATCATTCTCACTTTTGGGACTATGTTTTCCTAGATTATATTTCTTGTAGCTTGAATAGTTGAAGATTTACCAATAAAATCAGATTTATACTTAATAATTAGCAATTAAGCAGACAAGATAGATATATAAATAGATGGTATTCACAATTGACGTTAAGGGTGACCGTGGATTCGAGCTTGGCCCCTGAAGGCATCGCTCGGTTCCAGACCATGCACTTGAAGACTGCTCCGTCGTCCATCTTGTCCGGCTTCAGCGAGAGTGTCGTCATCACCCCGTTCTCGACCACCGTTGTCTTGGCACCTTCGATGGGCTCTGGCTGCCCTTGCCTGTACCAGCTGCAACACAAAGTAATATCTCAAGTTAGCTTATTATTTTTAATAAATGTTTTATTTTAGATTATTGAGCAATAGTTTAAATGTAAGAATGACAGAAGTAAATCAAGATACAGTTAGTGTTGTCCAAACGCGGGACCAATACGATGTGACCATGTCTTGGTCTTGCACAAGAGTCTCGTAAGAACCTACCTCTTAGCTTATTGCTGTTTATTAATCATGTTACTTTAGATCTTGGAAAAATGAAGTAGAATAGATACATCTAGATGTTTTATTGACACAAACGTAGTTAAGTCCAACCGAATTCATTAAACTAACTTGACAATACATTAAAGACATTGTTAAGAAAGATAGTGATAGGTCCCCACCTTGCAATAGAAGAACTGTAGAGTAAAGACGATCTATACAATGTCACAATAAATAAAAAATCTGGTGTGTCCACTCAAACGACTTTCCTACAGATTTTAAACTTTTTTTTTTCAATTATAATATGTTCATTAAAAATATCAAAATTGAATCAGACTAATTTCCCTGACAATCAATCAGAGAAATAATTAGAGTACGATTTCATTAATGAACTACAACAATGCAAATGAGCAAATGAATAATTATTAAAATCAGTGTATAAAATTCAATACACTGTAACGTTCCTAAAAATGGTCCGATTTAAACAAGTTTTTTACAGCTTTGTCGGATATACATAATAAGGATATATTGCTGCCAATTTTCAGAATAGGAAAACCTAACTATATCCCGAATGAAAAATTATAAGAATTAAATGCAGAAGTATATTGGTTCTACGAATTCATTACATATAGTAACTAAGATTGTCTAGTAACTATTTTGTCTATTTTTGTCTCGATTTAGAAAAAACAGGGAATACTACAACGCAACTGTATTTTAAATTAATTCCATCATGTCAGGTTTTGTCTCACTTCAACAAGGATGATAGTGATCAAAATCAATACAATCATACTTGTTCTGTATAAACTAAAGAAATATCAAAGCCTTAAAATTCAAATCATAAAATCTTAAAGGCTCCATTTAGTTGCACAAATAAAATAAACAAAGATTTTGAAAAGCTATATATTTCCTGAACAGGCCGGATAAGATTCACATCCTGCCAACATAAATTTTATTAAGGCATTAAACGACTAGGTCGTAATCTTGGTCCCAACAGGTCCTTTTTAGTATTCTCGGCACCGTCTGAAAAGAATATGAACTCGAGATCTGTTCAGTTTTGTTTTAAAGATTAGATCGTTATTGCAACCCCAACAAAGGATACTTTCTCCTAAACTCATCTCACCAAGAAAATTTTACTACGGCAGTAAATAATAAACATTTGAAGGGTTAATTATTTTTTTACAACGGCTTAAGGAAGGAAAGCTTTCTATTCATGTAAAAATTTATACAGACAGTGAGTCTGCTGTCGGAAAGAATAATGGAATATGGTGGAGAGAGGAGTGTCCAGCGGCATTCCTTCCAATTTTGAATCAAATATTCATATTTAAATGGGAAGATCTCTCATCCAGGTTCTTTTGAGCTTTCTAAGAATGTTTTCGGGAATGTTAATTGTGACCATATCTGGTATGAATCTGTTAGTAAGTCAGTATAAGTTATGAAATATTAAGTGTTGGCATGTGAAGGTCTTTACGTAGAGTTATATAGAACTACTATAGAGCTTTACTTATAGTTCTGAAAGAGTGCGATTGAAAAGTATATATGAGGAGTTAATCGGGGGTGCGGTCAGATAAATAATAAATTAAAATATAGTAATTATTTTATTTTAATTTTGCCGACGTTTCGACCCACTTTGCAGGTCGTCTTCAGGGGGTAGGATGTAGCACTGCGGGAGGCAGTTGAAACACTTGAAAAGTATATAGTTATCGTACGTGTGTATTTTTGGCTCTCAAGTGTAAAGCGGGTTAAATAAATAAGTGTTCAGTTTCTGTTTTAGTTTTAATCTTGAACGTAATAATATAAGTTGTAATCTGAGGTTTTTCTTCTGTCAAATGTCAGTCCAAGATGTTTTTTTGATGGAATTTGGGCATTGTCGAGGTAAATGAGTTGTTTTTTAAAGACATTTGTTATAATTGGGGTTGCTTATTTTCTGTTTCTTGTTTGTCCATTTATCTCATTCCTCATGATTCCTTCGTGGTCTAGAAACCAGACCAAAACTTTGGTTACGCATAACTCCATTCAAACGTTCCACCAAAAAAGGCATACTTTTATTAAACTTAATGAAAAAGAACTCTTTTCTGCCAAATTTGTAGAGATGCTTCAATAAAACACTAACATTATTCGAAATTGAAATGTTCCTATTATCTGTTTTACTTACTCGATCCTCCATCGATACTTTCCTTTAATTAGTTTTCCTACAAATTTTAAGCGATGAAACATCAAATTAGTTCTGCAGTAAAATCGGGTGAAAGTAGTTCATTATTATTGAGTTTCGTAAAAGTATCTTTAAAAAAAATAATCTCGTGCTTGATTCATTTTTAATATGTTTATTATTGATGAATAAAAGTCCTAATAAATCAAATTCTTCAAGACAAGGCAGCTTAAATGGACTAGTTAATTTTCACCACAGGTATCACCAAAAACGACAGCAGAATTTTAAAAAGCTTGTTGAGTTTTCATTTAAATCTTCCTTAAGCCGCCATTAATTGCCCATTCCAATTAGGGAAATTAATTTCTTCCGGTTGGAGGAGGAAATCCTTCAGCTGAATGTTGCTTAATTTACAAATAACCTAAAGGAAGAAATTTTGCGTTTTTGTTGTTTGTTTCTTTTTCTTCTTGAAAACCTCCGAGAAATGTAATTAATTTGGGAGGAATTAGTCTGGCTATCTTGAAATGGGGGGAGGGGTTTATCTGTTTCCGTGATGATTTACAACTCCTGAGCCGCAGCAAACTTCTCCTTTCGGCTAATTTTGGTCTGAGAGGGGGGAAGGTTGGGGGGAGGTTAGTAATGGCCGAGTGTGATGTTTAATGTTGCTTCAGCAGGCCTCTCCTAAATTACATCGCCATATTGGCCACTCTTGGATTATCCTCTTAAATTAGACGAAATTAATTTTTATTTATTTAATCACTTTCAATTACTTTTTATTACCTATATAAAGTTTCTTTGCCCTTGTTATTAATAATATAATTAGAAATTTACTTTTATGTCTTCTTGAATTAATTGTTTCCTTTAATTCTCTAGTTTAGGTTAGATTATTTGGATTTGGACATTCAACCAACATCTTAGATCATTAGTTTCCTTTTTTTATAATTCTTAATTTATCAACAGGTGTTACACCAAGCGCCATTTTGATTTTCCTTGTAAATTAAAACATCATTTTTAGGTAGAGTAGAACTCTGCATATCCGAAATATTTTAATTTTGTAAGACAAGAATGGGGTACATAGAAACTCAGTAAGTAAGGAACTGAGACCATATGCTTTATGTCTTATGCTTTAAATACTTAAAATGAATTAACTATTTAGATAGTAATAGTGGTATGACGGTTACTATAGTGAATAACTGAAGAGTGGTTGGTTGGGGTGTTCAGACGAAAATAAACAAATTAAAAATAAATAAATGATACATATGTTTATATTTGCCGATGTTTCAGAGACAGAGGCTCAATGTTCAGAGACAGACACTGGTGTTAGAAGAACTTCTGATGATTCCAGCCCTGATAAAGGCCTTAACTTTGGGCCGAAACGTCGGCAAATATAAAAATAAATACCATTTATTTATTTTTAATTTGTTTATTTTTGACTGAACAGCCCAACCTACTGTTAAATAAGGAGATAGCAGTTTAAATTTAATGTTTTCTAACTCTAAGCCGCAAAAAGATATGGCTGATAAATAAAGACAAGAAGTTTCTCCATCGAAAAAAAAAAATTAGTACACTTATTGACAACAAGAAATTATTTTTTTTTTTTTGTTTCTTTTTTGTACAGATCAAAATATTTCAAATTCGTAAACGGGGTTCTACTATTTAGCTAGAAAGGAAACAACTCAAATAAAAATCAAATAGCGAAAAAGAAAACGTGAGAGATCTTTGTTGTGAAACGGCTAAAAATAATAGAACTCTTGAAATATTTTTAAATCCTGTGTTATTGACCTTTCAGAAGGTCGATTAGAAAGACAGGTGCTGTCCGATACCTGGGCCAAGGTAGCCCACAAAGCAACAAAATATTCAACGTTTTTTTTTTTTTCAAAATAACAAAACTTCAAAATCATATAATTATATAATAATCGTAATAACATGTGAAACAGATTCTGGTTCCAGGAACTTCATTGAAGAATCAATTAATTTTTTGACAAACGAAAAAAAAACAAATAAATTATATAACAAGCAAGTCACAGTTAACTAATAACCGCTCAATACACTGGACAAGTTCCTAAACTCATCGATGGAAACTATGAAGGGAAATCAGTGATTTCCTTTATTGAATCACCAATTGCTCAGAGATGTTGCTTAGTGTTATTCTCAAATTACTTTACAAATTCACTATCAGTTGACCTTTTATTTTTATTTACATCTGTTTTGAAATTTAAAAAATCAGTAGGTAGGTATTTCCTCACACATTTTTTTCCTATGTATTTCGTAAACTTCAAGGAGTGGTTAACAGTCCATCAACTCGTTCTTAAAGCGACTAGATACGTAAAACCTAACAAGTTAAACCAATGTCAGAATGGAATGTAAACATAAATTGGAATTTTCTAAAAGAAAATGAAAAAAATAATAAATGAACAACAAAAATTTTGCTAAACCTTCAAAAAATTTCGAAATATTGAAATAATAAAAATTATGCTCTTAATCATCAACAAGAAGCAGTTTCCACGTGCCCTAATGTAATTAATTAGCATATTATATAAAACCTGTAATATGAAATAAATAGTAGTATTTTAGTTACATGCATTTATTAAATAGATTTAGTTCTGAGCTGTAATGATACATTTGAACAATATAGTATTAAGCCATATCAGATAATAAAAATAAAATCAATAGT